ACATGCTACCTGTCCTGTCCTACAATGTCCAGTTCACTAAACTGCCTCACTCAGTCAAATGGGATTTCCATTTTACGTCTCAGCTGCAGTATTGGAGGCTGTATTTGCTGTCGATGGTGTTGGGAATCGGTGGATCGTTTCAGTACGGGATTCAAGTGTCTGTCATTGCTTCACCAGAAGAGGTGAGACATCATGGCAACATACTGGATGAGAAAACAATAACAAAATGGCTAAAAGCTAAAGTTACTATAATACATTATTTATCTGTCCTTGATAAGGGACATGAAAATTGTGACTTTGACCTTTTCACAGCACGTGCAGAGTTTCGTGAACTACACGTGGTTGTTGAGGTACGACGCTCCAGTGAACGACTCTGCCAACAAGCTCATCTGGTCCTTCATCGTGGCCGTGCTGAGTCTCGGAGCCTGGGCCGGGGCCATTCACAGCGGCAGCCTTCCTGTCACTTACGGCCGGTGAGGGACACTGATTTTTACACTGAAATCTGTCCCCCAAAGTTAGCTAATGACAGAGACACCAAATTCTTGTACTTCCATCTTTTAGAGGACCCTCAAGGCATAATGCATTCCCTAGCCCCTTACCCTAACCTTAACCATCACAGCAACCTTAGCCTTAGCCTCCTGTGTTATTTAAAATACTGTTTGTTTGTGATGTTAGACAGGGCTGTTAATTAATAGCTAACACTCATTAATTACTTGCTGACGTCTCTGCTTTACAAAACTCTCTGACGGGACAAACTCTGATTTGGAGCCAAAGTCACCACTTCAATGGTTTTTATAAGCCAGAAAATAAAACGCTAATGTTCACCCTTAGTGTTTAACTAATCTGGTGTGTTTTCAAACACGTGATTTAACTCGCCAAGGTCACGTCAAGTGACTTTTTCAGCTGCAAAGATGGAAAATATGATGATTAATAAAAAGATAAAAGCAACTTGTTTCAAAGGCAAACATTTTTATTTTATTTATTCAGGCTCTGACAGCAGAAACGAATCTACTTGGTTTTAGACTTTGGTGTCAGTCCTGCAGTTCACACACTACTACTGCAGTGATTTACAACCACTGGATTCAATCATTCCCGGAAACACCTGCACTTCCCATAATGTGGAAAAGATGTACCAGGTTGACTTTAAGGTGGTGAAATATAAACTTCAAAGTACAGAATTGTGTGACGTTGCCACCGGGGTTTACCAACAACAGCCAGAGACAAACCATTCAGGTTTAACATCTTTTACTTCACTTAGCTGTGAAAGTAAGTTTAGTTGAATCCTACTTAATAAAATGTTGTATTTGTCTTTTGGTCTATCAGGAAGAAAGCTCTCCTATTCAACAATGTTGTGGCGATCGTTGCTGCTCTGCTCATGCTCTTCAGTCGCATGGCCAAATCTTTTGAGATGATCTTGTTGGGCAGATTCCTGTATGGGTATAACGTCGGTATGTTCTGATGATGCCTGGTGTGTGTGTTGTGTTTCTTATCTACTGTTTTATTTTTGTCAGGCTCTTAGGTTATTTTTTTCTCTCCACAGGTCTCGGCCTGAGCGTTCACCTCATGTATCTTGGGGAGAGTTCGCCAAAGAAATTCAGAGGTTTCCTGACTCTCACCAGCTCAATCTTCATCGGTTTTGGCAAAGTTATGGGTCAAATTATTGGCATCAAGTAAGGAGTGAATTCTTCTAAAAATAAAACATATAATACAAATTCTACCTCCCCAATAAAAAACATCAATACGAGCTGTTCCAGATTACAGTTTATCTCACAATTAATGAAGATAAATGGCACAAAGTCATATGGATTATTCTTCATTATTATATTTAGGAAGAATATTTTGATATTTGTATTTCTTTCTTAGAATTTAATTTAATTTAATTTGAAAGGAATTTTTGTATTTCAGGTGTCAACTCTTAGATCTATAGTATCTCCCCTCTTCCTGCCTTATCTTTTTCTAACCCATCGTTTACTCTGTGTAGGGAGATGATGGGCACAGAGGACATGTGGCCTTATCTCTTGGCAGTGAGTGGTATTCCTGCCATCCTGCAGTTTGTGATGCTGCTGTTCTTCCCTGAGGCGCCTCGATACCTTTACATCGACAAAGGCGACACTGAAGGCTGCAGAAAAGGTGAGTGCACGGTCTCAGAATCTGCATTTCACTCTAGATCACACATTTTACAATAAGGGTTGGATTTGTAAACCTGCTTGATTGTGATTGTACAACAACTTCTATGAGTAGCTGTTGGAGAGTTTTGATTGTGTCACAGATGAACTCCAGCTTTTTGAATGTGTTCACTGGATAATGTTCCATCTAACAGCCCTGCAGTGGCTGTGGCAGGAGGAGGACTTGAAGCTGGAGCTGGACGACATGGAGAAAGAGAGAGAGAGCTCACAAGGAGAGAAGGCGAAGACAGTGAAGGACGTGTTGAGCTCTCGCTCTGTCAGGTGGCAGCTGCTGACTCTGGCCATCCCCTGTGCTGGTGTTCAGTTCTGCGGCATCAACGCTGTATGTTCATGTCAGCTGTCATGAAACAAATGTTCTGATCTCACCTCATGCGTTTAATCTAGTTAAATGGTTTCTCATCTTCTCTTCTCTCGTTCAGCTCTACTTCTACGCCTTTGACATCTTCCGTGAGTCAGGAGTGCCAAAGGACCAGATGCATTACTTGGCCATTGGTATCGGAGCAACAGAGTTGATCGCTGTAACCCTGTGTGTAAGTATTCATACTGAAAGACGATGAAAATGTAACACAGCTCAAAAGCAACTCAGGAATGACAAAAGTTATCAATAGAAAACACACCTCCACCAAGACCAAACAGTCTCATTGAATTCAGGTTACACACATTTATAATTTTTTGTCAAAAACAAATACAGATTGAACAACTAAATAACCGACTGAACGACACAACTAGACTAACTAGACAACTATCTATCAACAGACTGACTGAATGACTGTACGATTGTCAGAATGAACGACTGAATGACCCACCAAACGACAGAGCGATTGACAGACTGAGTGAATAAATGATCAACAGACTGACCGAATGAGCGAATGAACAAACAATCAAATAAAAAACTGAATAACCCATCAAAAGAACAAACAAACCAATGAACAGGGTGAAAACAAGCCCTCTGTAACTTGAGTACAACGAAAGAAAGAAAGTGAGCTCATGGCTGTAGGTCAGTGCATTCCCTCCTGTGAACCACTGTTGGGTAAATTCATTTCATTAATTGTGTAACATCTCTGTTCTGTCTCAGTCTTTCCTGATAGATCGTGCTGGCAGGAAGAAGCTGATGGGCTATGGCTATTTACTGATGGGCATCACCATGTCTCTACTCACTGTCATGTTATCCATCAAGGTAACTGTGCTCTGTCACTGCACATGTCGTCGTCCTCCTCTCTGTCCTGAGGAAGAAAAATTATAAATACTTGTCTTTTTTCACAAAGGATCTGAATTCATGGATCCCATACGTGAACATCGCCCTGATCTTCTGTGTCATCTGCATCTATGGACTTGGACCTTGTGAGTTTTCTGTTGCCTGTGCTTATCCACATAAGTGATTTATTTTAAATTTGTATTATTTTATTTCAGATTGCATTTTTTTAAATAAACGATAATCTCCTTTTAGCCGGTGTGTCCATGGCTCTTCCCGCTGACCTTTTCCTACAAGCCTGGCGTCCCTCTGCCTACGTGATCAGTGGGACAATCAACTGGCTCGGCATGTTCCTCGTGGGGATGTTATTTGGCTACGTAGTGGTGAGATATATGTGCCTCATGTCATTATTTCCAGTCATTATCTCCCTCCTGATATCTGTACACTGTGAATTTAACAGCCTGATGTGATGTGTTTTTTGATGCAGGATGGACTCGGACAATTCTGCTTCCTGATCTTTGTGGCTTACTCCTTTTTCAGTGCAGGATTTATGATTCATTTTGTCCCAGAGACCAAAGGAAAAACAATGGTTGAGATTATGGAAGAGTTCAACAAAATAAATTACAAGAACAGTGGAATCGACATTGAAAGGACTGATAACACTCAATCCACTAAATTATAAATATTATAAATATACATTATTTATATATATTTTTAACTATATTTTTTCCACAGGCCATTCAGTTTGAATTTTAAATCAAACATTAAACCACGTTTTTAAGAGAGCAACCTTTACATTAGTTGTTAAAAAATCTTTACAAACAAATACATGTATTACTTTTAGCATGAACAACTCCAGAAGCCCCACATTCCACTGAAGTTTTCAGTTTTCTTGATTACTGGATGCCATACACAACCACGGTTATTTTATTTAATCCCATAGACACAAAACTACACCAAATACAGAAAAAGGTCAGTTCTAAGGTAGTTGGTTCATTCACTCATTCAAGCAGTATTAGATGTGATCCGTGCACAGTATACTACCAGATGATAGTTTGCCGACGTGTTTTTTGTGTGTGGACACGGTCTATATTGTTTGTTTACAAAAGACACACCAGCTGAATAAAGTTTTAGTGAAATTATTGGAGGCATCTGTGTGGTGAACTTGAGCGGCCTCGTCCCCATCATGTTTTGTTCCTCACATTCAATGTCAAATTAAATATGTACCATTTTTATATTTAATTATGTTAATCAATTCATTTTAGATATTTAAGGAAAAGTACAACCTGCCCATTTGAACAATAATGGATCACATGACAAATGTATGTGCAGATACATCATCTGGGACGCCAGTGTTTCAGTGACGTGATGTGAGAATTTTGTCATTTTCAAAATGAGTTAATTTGAACCATCAGTAATATAATTCAAAACTTATTTTGTGTCAGTTGGCAAAGTAAAAAAAACTCTGGTTCAACAGTCTGGTGCTTGTTCTGTTTACAACAATATCTTATGTTTTGGAAACTTACATTGGTGTGAATGTTAGTTTGAAGTATAAACCACTGTCTAATGTATAAACAGGATGTGTCAATATCCATCCGAAAAAATACAACACAAATATTAGAAGCTTTTTCAATTGCAATTTATTTGATGCCCACATCTCTGTACCAACAAGAGAGATGAGACTCGATAACAGAGTACAAAAACAAATATCTATAGAAAAGTATGCTTAAATTGAAACATGTCCAAAGACACATGTAGCTCACATGTTTAAAGAGCAATCTTGTTGCGTATGATGATAAAATACCAAGGTAACATATTGTACATTTTGTGAGCGTTTTTATACAAAAGTGTCAATGCAAGTCACTCTGTACAATTTTCAACCTTTAGAAAAGAGGATCTTTTTTAATCCACTGCTGTGCACAATCAGTATTTGGAAGGCACTTTGCAACAGACCAAAAGCAGAAAGCAAAAACCATTTAGGTCTAAATAATCAATGAAAAGATCTTTTTTAACTCTGAAGTACCAACCTATAGTGAAACAAATCATACATCCCTGTGAAGAAATTCCTTCCTGACGGCATCGTCCACATGATTTCAAACAAATAATCACAACACAACCCTTATTAACGTTTAAGTTGTAAATACCTTAGTGCAGAGTGGATCAAAACAAAAGCAGAGGAAAACAAAAGACGTGAGTCTTGCGGCTGGCAGTGTGAGCGCTACCAGAGCAGCGTGACAGCAGAGTGACCAGTGAAACCATTACTGCCACCAACCAGTGATCGACATTCAGTCCCCAGCTCAGCTCGCATGCCAGGCACATGCAGTTTCTTTTCAGTCGAAATGGCCATAACTTAACACCCCTCCATATAACAGACAAGAAAAAAAAACTATATATATGTACAGGACCACCACTGACAAACATCGATCATATTGGTTGGTTCATATATTTATATATATCTATAGATGGTGTATATGAATGGTATATACACTTGTTACAATCATGATAAAAACATAAATAATATAGGAATGTACTGAATTCAACAGACAAATTGACCTACATATAATAATTAAACAGAAGCAGGAAACAGACAAACACGCATAGATGGCACATGTACACACGCTCTTCTTACAATCACACACACACACACACACACACACACACACACACACACACACACACACAGCTTGCCCATTCACTGTTGGAATTTACACAACAAAAATAAACATTGAACATGAGATATCAAAATATCATCTTTAAAGTGTTTTGTATGTGAGGTCCTCATGATACCCAATAATGAAATCTCATATTGTTTACTTTGCAACTGTGTTACTTCGACCTACTGTAGTTCTACGTTTCAGAGTGAAGAGATGTCTGAAAATGATTATTCTTTTAAATTAATCCATTAAATCAATTGGTCGATCAACTGAAAAACTAATACACAACTACAGTGATTTGTTAAGAGGTTAATAGTTTCTAGAGCTTCTGCAGTGAGTTTGCATCTGTGTTTGGACTGTTGATCAGACAAACAAAGTCAATTGAAAGTCTCAATGGACATATATGATTCAAAAATAGTCTGCAGGATAAATGATCATAAAAATAATGATCAGTTACATACCTAAACCTCATTTAAGCCAGATTAAACTGAAAAGACCTTTGCATTCAATCACAAATGTCATATTGGGTTATTTAAAAAGTAAAGATGGTTCATTTTAGACATCACAGGAATTTCTTGGATTCAACAGTTTGAATTAATGACAACAAGGTGGATCGCTTGTGCCTTAACTGAGCGGACATTAGTGCAAACACAAGTCGTGTCATCTACACAACAGAGCAAGCGACTGACAGATCACTGACAGAGGGGGGTTGATCACTACAAGACGTGCAGAAGATGAATAAACACTGGAGAAAGAACATGAGCTTAGTTACTTGACTCTGTAAAAGTTGCATTAAGTTTGGTCGGTGCAGTAGCTGGTGGATCAGGGTGTCAATCCCTCCTCTAAACTGCTGCACAACACGCACACAAAGACACGCACATCACTCCATTTAACATAATCTACAGTGAAAAATTATCAAAATGAGCAAATCACAAGATTTTTGTTTGACAATTTAAAAAAAACTGTACACAAAAAAAAGCACAGGCATGAATAAGTTAATAAAATATAATTTACATTTCTCAAAAAATAGACTGAAAATATACCTGACCTTGGTCCCTGTTTTAATGTACATAACTGATGTAAAAACTAACAAACAATACTCGGAAACCTTCGTCATTGTTGTGGGGGTTGTGGGGGTCCCAACAAGCTCAAGGCATGTTTCAAGACCGATATTAAATCAAAATTTACCCGACATGATTATCATTATTAGAAAAAAAAAAAAACATTCCTGGACACAGTATAAATCACAATAATAAATGGCTTTCCTCTCCTCAGGTTTGCAATTTTTCATGTGAATTATTCTTTTTTTTTTTAACCAATGATCAGATCAAAAAATAATATAGGGCTTTTTACACCCAAATGAGCTGCCAGTAGCACATTTCGTAAAACGTCTCCTCAGTGTACCAACTCTGCTCAAGATTCACAAATATGACAAACCTCTGAGGCTTTTTGCTAAAATAATGACAAAACCGGTCCTTCTAAGTACTGACTAAATTAGGAAGATTTGGAGCTGATGGGGCTTTGATGGCTGTTTTCATTTTTGACTTGTTATTCTAGAAATCCAATAAAGTAAACAGAATTAAACTTGATTAAGCTATGATTAACACACATAAACAACAAAGCACTGTGGTGTTAATATCTTCTGAGGTAGCTTAATTACTATTTTTATGGGTGATATTTATTTGCCAAAGGAGCCAAATGTGTTTTGTGTTTTTATGATACTTGTTTTAAAAGTGCTTCTGAACTGTCTGTTGTCAGCTACAATCCTGTCAATAATGATTCCTAAAGGTCCTTGACAACTCTCAGTGCTACTCAGCCACCTTTAAACCCACTCTTTTTGTACAAAGTTGTTGCTCATAATAAATGTGTAATGAAATATGCCGTGTGCCTGTTAGAACATGGAAAATTGTCTGAAATTAACAGATTTGCAGCAAAACCTGCTATCAAAATTGAGGCCAATTTAAATCCCTGGTCTTAATAAAAACTAAATCTGACATAAATACAGAACTCAGTCCTCCTGTTGCTATGAGGTAAAGACGTCTGTTTATATGAAAGATTCAAAACTGTTGTAATGGCCAAGGGTTGATTTACCAAGTACATCAGAGCAGGCCGACATTTAAAAAAGAAAATCATAATTTTCAGAATGCCGTAAATAATTAATTCCATGTCAGGAACATATGTGCAGCTAAGATTAACACACAAGCCAAAAACAACTGAGAGCATACCAAACATTACTTCAACAGATTCATGTCAGATAAACGAAATAAACCTTCATGTCGTTTCTTTACAAAGAAAATGTACACGCCGTTCACTTTTCATACTCTGAAAAAGTAGAAAAAGTAGGAATTGTATGGCAGTCTCTGACAAAAATATTGGATACACATTAAGCAACGCGACAAACAGAAAAAGTAGTCTTGAGGCAAAGTTATTCCCAAATACGGAGCATCTTCTGTGGGCAACCTGGCTTCGTCCAACAAGTGCGAAGCTTTATTATATCTCCAGCAAACTTGTCACTTGCCTCCAAAGTCGAGTCCACTTTGACCTGCCTCAGCATCCACCAGTGACGAGGCGAAAGCAGACTGGACAATCTGAAAGCCAAAGGACTCGAGCAAGGACATGTTTTGTTGGGGGGAGAAAGGAGAGGACAGGGACGGGGTCAGCTCACTTAAGCCAGACCCTGAAACTCCCTGGGCCTTCTGGGCTTTGTGAACTCTGTGCTGGTGCTTGTTGAGGTAGGACTTTGTGCGGAAGGCCTGACCGCAGATCCCGCAGGTAAACTTCTTCTCAGGGTCCGTCTTGGCTTTGGATCCCTCTGGGGAACCCAACGCCCCTGCAGAAGCTCCGTTGCAGGATAAGGATGGCATCTCGAGCTCCGGCCCGTCGGGTTTGTGTGGAGATTTCAGTTCATCACTGTTGGGCAATTCTCCGAATGAAGGATCTGATTCTTCTGATTCCAGATGAGGACATTTCTCAGCATTCTCCTGTCCGTCTGAGGTAAATGCCACATGGGTAGGAAGAGGGGAGTGAAGAAGGAGGAGAGGTAAAAAGGGAAGGAAGAGAAAGATAAATGAGGATAAACTATTATTTAACAGGTTTTGTCATATACAACGTTATTCCAGTAGCTGGCTGGCACCTGCAAAAATCTCAAACCTAAACAAGATGACAATAACCACAATTGAAACAAGGTGAATGATTGATTTTACACAATTCAGAAAAACTGAAGAAAGACATTTCCTTCAAAAACGTGGCTACAGGATTGAACCGTACTATCATCTAGCTCAGTCCATTTGCACAGTGTCCACTGAGAATAGTACTTTGCTCTTCCAACCATTGGGCAATGCTAGCACCATGCCCCCAACCCACCCTCCTGCTGGACTTTACTGACCTGTAACAGGCCCATGGACGGGGAAGCCAGGCACCCCGCCAGAGCGACACTCCCAGAAATATGGAGTCCCACCTGGCTTCCCCATGAGCAGCTCAGGCTGCAGGCCCAAGGCTGGAGGGCCAGGCTGTGGAAGAACTGGGTGTCCAGAGAGCCCATGAAAGCGACCCTCTGCCTCAGACGAGGTGAGAAGCAGCTGGCGACTGGCGCACAGGTCTACACGACACCCGGCCAGGGAGAAAGGAAGGGGGAGGGACAGACATAAAAGGCCGGCGGAAACCATATGGACAGAATTACCTTCATTTCATCACTATTTGAAATGCAGTCGGTAAACACAGTGTGCAGGACAGGTTTACTCGCATGAATGAATCCATGCTGAGTGAAGCCCATCACGGAAGCTGTCAGGGACACATGAATGATTTTCCTCCTTACCCTGTCAGCTTTTGCTAAATCCTCATAAGTGATTTTTGGAATAATTAATAAAAAAAACTGTTGATGTTTGTGAAAAATACAGTGGCTATGAGTCCATCTATTCGACTAACAAGCTATGTTTAGTCATATTCATTTACAGAACTGCCATTTGAGTGCAGGCTTTTACAGTGGACAATTGGACTTGCTAATCCCAAGTAATAAAAAAATGCACAATGTTGACTCACTGGCAAACTCACAAAGCCGTTATGTGCAAATCCCATCCAGATGGACCAATAATAAAGAAAATTTGGTTACCATGGTGACAACAAGTGTAGTTTCTAAATGGACAAATTTGTAAATGTGCAGTCAAGATCATTTTGGAGTTGAATTAAAAAGTTAATCAGAAGATAAAAATTGAATTAAGTGAGTATAGTTATATTAACTTGTGCATCCTGTTCAAACAGGTCATAATAACACAGTGAAAAAAAAGCCCATACTGTGACTAACAAAGTATTTTTCACAAACAACTTATCTGTGACATTAAATTAAGACTACAGTGAAAAAAATCAGTAAATATAGTGACAGTACACATATCTGGCTATTTCCAAGGGGAAATGATAGTTTCTGCTTTTTCTTCTTGTGGCTTAGCTGAAATCTGCTGGATGACAGCAAACCTTTGTGTACCTTTTATACAAGAGGTTTGTTAATTTACTGACACACTGTAGCAGAAGAGATTAATTGGAGAGAAATCATCAAAACCAACAAAAGACGTGCATCAAGCATAGAACAATCTGAAAACAAATCTGCCCGTAGGACATACACGCTAAGTGATCATTTTAAACGGTTGAAAGCTAACGTAATGGTTTACAGCCTATCATTGATATTTAACACTCTTATATGTGCAAATATTTTATGCAATAAAAAGATCCCATTTTATGTTTAAATGGCAAATCTAAACACATTGGCCATCAGGGTTCCCTTAGTTTTCATGCATACGGTGCACTTGACCAAATTGAAAAAAACATATTAGGCTTTTTAGATATTTGTTATATATACTTTTTTGAGCTGTGAGAATATGTGATCTTGCTACGCTTAATGTCTTTACAGACTTTAATATGGATGAACATGGCGAGAAAATTGAATGTTGGTGATAATAAAATCAGTTTATTACACAGGTGGCTACGAGTACCAAACATATATCTGGTACAGCTTTAAAATTCATCATACCTATTAAACACAGGTTCTAATGACCACATGACATCTTTTGGTCCTGTCCAGTATGGTGTCCCTCAAGGAGCACCTTTAGGGCCAATTTTATTTTCTCTGTACATGCTTTCCCCAGGACATACCATCTATAGTTAGAGAAAGTGATCCTGACATGCTGATTTCACTTCATGACTGATGCCAAAACTTGATCTCACAAAAGATATAACAGCAAAACAGAGATTTGTAACTCAGCACATAGTGAAACAAATCCTGCCATCTACTGGTTCCCCGCACAATAATTTACAAATACAATCTCTGTTACCTTTCAAAGAAACAGCCTATTTTACACACCTTTATTTCCTCATTTCTCAAACTAAAATCTATGTATCTGCTTCAGAATGTACAGAAATCTATAATTATTATGGCTACCATCTATTATGCTATGCAAATTGACTAATGGACACATTTTTATTTTGGAAAAAGTAAGTAAGTACAAATCAAAAAAAAAAAGATTGGTTATTTTTGCCAGTTGTGGCTCGCTTTGATTGTGTGCACTGTCTCTATGCTACTGGTTCTCCCACAAAATTGCACAACTACAAAGGTTTCAATGAATCCAGGGCAAATGGAGCGCACATTAGGACGATCATGCAACACTGTGCATTGCTGAACAACTGCAGAAGCAGGTACAGACACTGTTAATATGCTGCCATGGCCATGCAAGACAGACAGGCACATACAAAAGCAAAGTATGCTACATATTCTTATGTTATAATGAGTAAGAATACAAGTCTAGAAATGTCTTTGTGCTTAATTGCTAAATTCTATGGCAAATACAGCATACTGCTATACTCTCAAATTCTATAGGAAAAGCTGCACTACGAGTTGTAATCTACAGGGGTTTCCTCTAGCCATTTCTGCAATCCTCACCTTTGACATGAGTCAGTGAAACTACTGTGAACTTCCAATGGTTCCAGCACTCTTCCTGCAGCTGGTTGCACCATGAGGTCAAGCTTAGCTTAGTTCTAATGTAAAGTGTCCCCCCACTGTAAGCGTTAATATAATGAGTAAGGGAGATACTATGGAGAAGATATTTTACACTATGCAAATAAAATCTGACTAAACATGTAAAAAAATCAGCAAGGTCAGGACTATCTGCCACTTGCCTTAATTCCTGTATGAATGTTACGTAACCTGAAACAGATGTCTCCTTGTGTGCAGATTTTAGTAAACTTTACAATTTTAAAACATATCTGTTAAGCACCAAAAACTGTAATTTTTGGAAGATAGCTTTGATAATTACCGTGTGGTGCTGCAGTGCCTTCAGGGTTTACACAGGGCTGTAGATGTTTCCTACAAACTGGCACTAAAATCTGTACCAGCAATGGCATTTCTTAAGTTTTGATGCAACCTAAATTAGTAAATCAGTGGTATGAATCTAAATAGTAACTACTTGAAATTTAGAGAGGACTTTTTTTTTTTTTGATTTGCTGAAGGATTAATGAAGAGCTAGTACACCACAGTCTAGTCTACTTCCCTAATCATGGGCATAAAAATGGTGTAATAGCTAGAAAATAATAACGGCAACGTCCTAATTGAGCCTTAGAATGAGGACAAGGAAAAATTGTTTGCCTTCCACCTGATTACCACAGTGAAGTTATGTATACACTGCTCCCTCTAAGCAAAAGACCCTGACTGCTGAAAATGCACAGTGGTAAATGTTTGAGGGAAAAGCTTGGCAGTGCGGTGAATGTATGCTTGTGTTTTAAACATACACACAGATGCGGCAGCATGTTTCTCCAAAAAGCAGCAGCGCACATGAAAGCCAGAAACATGAAAATTTGGGATGGGGCGGGCGGCTGCTTGCCTTCCACTGAGCACTGGTGTCCCATGTGGTAAGGGGTGCCGTTGTGCATCTGCAGTCCCCCCCTTGGCTCAGGGAAGTTGTGAATTGTGGCTGAGGGGGGCAGTGGAGAGCCATGGTGTGTCTTTATGTGCACCTTAAGGTAGGACGCAGTGGAGAAACCTGGGACCAGAAGAACAAAGAACAAGGCAGTCGTATGACACACACAAAGCCTTGGCTATGAGGGCCGTCATGTAAACAAGGAGGGATATTCCTCGTCAACCCTCAACATGATCAAAGGGGGCGAAAACCAGAATCCTTTCCTTAATCACAACCAAACAGCATAAGGCAAAAGTCCTCCATCAAGCAAACAACCTAATTATATCAAAAACTTGCTTGGGTGCCACTTCATCAACCAGAAGAACATTAGCAGCTACAGCTACAGACACACAAGTGTGATGCAATCAGTAAAAGAGATGTTCTTATTGAGCTAATCACAATACTTCTGATTACCTGTCAATGCACCTACAGGTACCCAACTTTCTCTAGTCATTCAGCAAAACCAACAGAGTAATGAATCTTGTAAAATAATGAAACTGACTTTGATTCAACAACATGCTGTTCAATTCCAATCCTGTCTGTGAGGTAATGCTCAGACAATAGTATTACAACATTGTAGTACAAGGGAGGGAACAAATGACTGGTGTGGAGAAGATGAAATAGGACCCAGAATTCAGTCAGACTACCAAACACACAAAAGGCACGATACCAGGTTGTCATCCTTTGAGGTTTAAACATTACAGCTCTATCGTGACAGCAGTGATCGCTGCCTCTTTCTCAAATTGTACAACAATTTGAATCTGATACATATTTGGCTGGCGTGCAGCCGTGCACCCTGCATTACCATATGGAAGCCATACAACATTCAACATGAACGTCAACTTGAATAGTGACTTTTAAGAACACACTGCTTTTCTCTTGAGAGAAAACAGACAAACACAACAAGATTACAGGACATCCTGCAATTTCACATTGTTGATAAAAATCAGCAGATTTTCCAAACACTCTAATAACTACAGTAGTCCAACTGTAATGTCATCCCTCATCATTTTCCGATTAGTATAAAAACACTGCTCAGCAGAACACAGACAGCAACATCTGAATACATGTCATTCGTCATTTGACATGGGGCAGAGTTGTCTCGGTGAACTTTGCAGACGTGTGGTATGTGGACGTTTTTCAGGATTACCTTTGTTGCAGATGCCACAGTAGTTATGTGTTCCTTCACTGTGTTTCTTTAGGTGGTCCGTCATGTAGGCAGCGCGCAGGAACTTGCCACAAACTTTGCAGGGGATTTTGTCCTCATGACATGCGAGATGTGAACGGAGGCGATCTCTCGTAGCAAAAGAGGCATTACAAATCTGTAATACAGATATTGACACGTTAATGTCTTTCTTACATATGGTGGTTTAATAACAGTCATTAGCTGCAGGGTTTTATTATATATAATAACTCCATTATGTGGATTCCATGTGTTACCTGGCACTTGTGGGGTCTCTCTGTTGTGTGAACTTGTTTGATATGTCCGTTCAGGTGGTCGGGTCTGGGAGAAGAAAAAGGTAATAAGAACCAGATGAGACTATGAATTTCTAATATATTCATTTTCACACAGCTAATGATTTGTGGTAGGAGCTGTACTTAACATATTTAATGTGTGTGGTGTCTTTTTTCAAAACCAAAAAACCCTTTCCATGTCTATTACGTGACAAATGAAAACACTCCTGCACACTGTCTCACTTGAAGTGAGACATATTTGCCACATTTTAGAGCTAGACCTTCATTAGATTGATGCCACGACAGTGCGGCAGACTGATGCCTGCTCAAGATGCAGATCACAAATAGCTACATCACTGTAGGTAATAACTTAGCAGAAGTGTTTTTAATAACATTTGTAAATAAAAGAACATTCTCTTCCTGTGAAGGAAAGACAAACCATGTCTCGAGGTCCTCCATTCTAAACAAGTATAAATATAATGGGCCTATTCCAGAGCAGATATTTTGAACTTAAGCACAGATGTAACTAATCACATTGAGGCTGGCTCTTCCCATCTGTTCAAATGCTCTATTAAAGACAGTCGGTCCTTCTTCTTAACAGACATTTTGACTTGTCACAGCAGGAAAGGTCCAGATGTTCCTGATAACATCAACAATGACTGTTCTGTTTGCAGTGGTTAACTCCATTATATACAAAGAGGTGTCCCCTGTTATAACATGTCAAAATGTCTCCTGTAAAAAAACAAACATATAAACCCCGAAACTAGAACAAATTAATAGAAATCAAAAAGTTTGTGAAAAGGGCAAATTATGTTAGATAAGATAAGATCATTTTTATTAGTCCGAGAGAGGGAAGCATTTGCAATGTCACAGCAGCCAGAGGGCAGTCAGGAATAAACACCAGTATAAGTACTTATAATGTAAGGAGATATAAGAAAATATAAATAGAGTAAAAACTAATATATACAGTGTTGACAGAATATGTGCAGTGTGAACATACATACATTGAAATGGATTGCACATTAGTCATTGAATTTCATAGACAGAAATGAATATTGCACAGTAAAAAAGTGAACCCGGGTTAAAGTGCAGAATTATATTTAAGGTGCATGTGGTCTTCTGGGAGCACAGATGATTGTACAGTCTTACTGCTGCAGTAAGAAACCTTCATTTGTGCTTAGGAGACATTCACATGAAGTCATAAAGAATCGAGTATATACACTTTGGAGCAACCCTGATACTTGAATGTGTCACACCTGCTGATGAGCTACCACCGGTGTGAACGTCTCCACCACTAATACAGTGATGTCTCTCTCTTGTGTCTTTCAAACCTGTGTGACTGCTTAATTTAATGCATTATCCTCCTGTGCATAAACCTCCAGTGCAGCAGGTGGTGACATTGAGTTTGTAGCTGGGCCTGAGAAACACTGAGCCTGGGAAACACTGAGCCTGGGAAACAGAGCTGGGGAGCTGGTGTGTATATGTGGGAGTCAGGCTGAATTACAATGATGACAGTCACTATGTGTGTTCTGCAGTTATGAAGCTGTGACATCCCTGTCTTGTTATCTTCTCCAACCACTGTCACAGTGAGATTTGGGTGTAAAATTATTGAACATTTTGAAAAAGGCCATATACCTCAGGGTTTTATTGTTGTCAACTCACAAGAATACATGGTTTCTCAAAAACTCATCATCTTTTCAACACAGATCCACAAACCAAACACAAAGACATGCTGGATGAAAGCTCAGCTCACCTTGAGAAGCCTTTACCGCAGCTTTGGCACACGTATGGTTTCCCGACAGATCCGTCATGGGATCGCACATGGTAAGACATCCTGTCCTTGCGTTTGAACCGGAGCCCGCACACGTGGCACGCGTACGGCTTCTCCCCGGAGTGGGAGAGCTTGTGTCGGTTCAGGTGATACACGTCGCGGAAAACTTTCCCGCAAATGTCACAGCCGACGTGCCGCCTGGTCCTCTCCCGCTTACGTGGGTTGTCCATCGCCAGCCCGCCGGGTAACTGCAAGCCGTTCTCCACCAGACCCGGGTGGGACATTAATGACAAGCCGCCCGCTGATGACAGGCCGACGCTGTGTGCGCTGGAGGCTCCGTGTTGGGCTTCGTGGTTCTTCAAGCGGGAAGCCTCGGTGAAAGCTTTCCCGCAGGTCCCGCACGGAAACAGTCCGTTGTCTTTCTGGGTGCTGTGGTTGAAGTGAAGCGCCTCCACGACACCACCAGCTTTCTTTGGTCGCCCCCTGCTCCTCTTTGACCCCGGGGAGTCGCCGCCGTCCTGGTGAAGCGTGTTCCCCGTTAGTTCTGCGCTCGGGGACACGGACAGTCCGTCGACAGGCTCCAGCATCGGCACCGACGACTCTCCGCCGCCTTCCAGCAACACGGCGGCGGCTGCGTCCTCGCTCGCTTCCATGGACATTTGCATATTGTTAGCAAAGCTCTGACCGTTCACCAGCAGTCCTGTTCCGTTTAAGAGCCCCTCCTGAGCCGCCGGATAACCCAGCTCCGCGGCGGCCGTGGCCTGGAAGAGGCTGGCGTCTCCCCCCCGAGAGGTCGGGACGAGGATCTGGATGTTGGACTGTTTGATGACCTCCTGACAGATCTCGATCACCGACCTCATCAGCAGGAACTTGGCAGCTGTCATCAGCTCCGGGAAACACTCTAGCCGCACTACGATCCTGGAGGTGTACGCGAAGTCCAGGATGTCTTTGAAAACTTTCGGGCTGATCGTGTGCATCTCCAGCTCCTTGGCGTCGCCTTCGCCTTCCGTCTGGCGGTCGAACACCGACTCGAAGTACTCGCTGCAGGCGGCCAGCACAGCCTTGTGGGCAGGGAAGCTCTCCTCGCCGACGCGCAGCACCACATCGCAGAACCTGCCTCCATCTTTCCTCTGAACGTTGAGGTTGTGTAGCATCTCCGCGCTGTGCTTGCTCACCTGGTAGGTGTACGAAGAAGTCCAAGACGGCTCCGCTACTTTCTCCATGCCGAATTCATCCAATGGCGGCGGTCTGTTCGCGACAACGGCCGGAGGAGTAGCGGATTGCGTGTGGCGACCGGGATCGGTTGATTGCAGCGAGCTACAAAATCCAAAAAATCCACCGCACCTCCGCGTCGGTTTAGCATCTAGCGTTAGACGTTAGCTGTAGCAGCAGCGAAAAATGGCAGCCCCCCAGCTTCCTGTGAACTTTGACCCTGGTTTTTTGAGGGGTGGGGGTCGCTCTGGTTTTGTGAGAAATGTGTCTGATGGGGTTTCATGCTGTGATGTGTGTTTATATCGGTTCTCTCGTCACAACAGTCGCTCGGAGGAGAAGAGCAGCAGCAGCGCCGGGGTGTTTGGTGTTTATGGTAGAATGTGAACACGCAGGTCTCTTCCTGTCTGTGTGTAAAACCCCTCCCCCACCAACCACGATCCAACCCCCTCCTCTCTGAGAGCTGACTGTAAACCATCACACATGTACTACATCATACATGTACTACATCACACTGTCTGTAAACCCACTGATCATACATGTACTACA